GTTGCTAGGGAGAAAGATGTCTGGGTTTCCCGCCTCGACTTGTCTCCACAACCTGACCTCACATGCATGAATGTTTTGACAGAGGAATGGATTTTTCAAGTACCACAACAAAAATCCACAGCAGATGATTTTTTTCTGGACCATTTCAGTCTTCAGTTTTGTTTCTTCCATCTAGAACAAAGCTGACTGAAAACAAAGTGGTGTATTATGGCTTAAGATTTTTTTCTCTTTTCTACTTTTATGCAGTAAAAAGTAAGTTCTGATATTTATGAGAGTCATAGTCACAGTTTTTGTTCAACCAGTTTCCTGTTATACTTAAATTATTTACTTCTTAATTTCATTTTCTATCTTTGTAAAAATGTAAAGAGTTAGCCTTATAAATTTAAATTACATTGGAAATCAAACAAAAAAAAGTGAACGACGACTCATTTATTGCAAAAAATAGAAATGTGGTTGACATTTCACTATTGAACATTCAGGCAATTAAATAAGTTGTTGAGTTACTACTTTCTTAAAAATGTCAGCTATATTGTATTACTATAACATTTCAATTGTGGGAATTCCAGTGGGGGAAAAAAACAGTCTGCTGCAGTAAATTTTCTTCGATTCGATACGGCAGAGTTGCCATGGCCTTTTCTCCAAGGTTCAAGAATTAGGTTTCTGGCCTACTTTGCCTTATCTCTCCCCTGACAGCTAATCACTAGATTAGGTGGGATGTGACCACCCTCACTTACCTAATTGCTATGTGAGGGCTGTGTTTTAGAAAGGTTCCTGACAGCCAGCGTCCTTAGAATTGCACTCTTACTTCAGAAGAAATCTGCCTCCGCTTCACATCTTAACTTGGATTTCCAAAAGGCTTCCGTTTGTTACCAGCCGTCTATCCAGGCCTAACTTTTGTTTTTCTTTTGTCTGACTTATGGCGAGTTCTGGAGTATTCAGACTTTTGCCAAGCTGTTTTAATATCCCTCTTTTCATAGACCATATAATTATGCAATTTGACATTTGGAAAATAAATTTACTTAATAGAAACACTAAACAATTTAGAAAAAAAATTAACTGTTGATAAAAAAGTTTTGGCGGTAGGATGAGGTGGTTTCCTTAGCTGTATTAAAATGTATTTATTTCAAAAAGGTGCAATGGAAACACTTTTTTGCATCAAGATGAAGATGACAGGAAGTGGCGGGTGGATGATGGCATGTTTTTTCTTTTTTAATGACTGATCACCTGAACCACTTATTCATGTCTAAAAAGCATGAAAGCAGAGATCCATCCTGCTACTGGTGTTGTAATGGTGCCAAGGATATTTTCTGGACTCACTTTGGATCAAGTGAGGAACATTTAAGTTCCACTCACTCCATTAATGTTGTCGGTGTCAAATCTTTTATGATCACACTGTAGCGGTCTACTGATGTCTGCTCAATCCATTACAGTACTTTGTATTGGAACTTGATGGAACAAGACACTCAGAGATTCAAAGTCACTGAACTGAGGTACAAAGAACTGAGGCAGTTCTGGAGACAAAAGGTCCAACACAGTCTGCCTAATAAAGATGGCAGACTGCTGCTGTCAAGCTTGGCCATCAACACTGGAATGACATTAAGACGTTCTGCCTGGGGCTGTGTGATGACACAGTTGCTGCCACTGTTGCCTTGGAGCAAGAAGGTTCTGAGTTTTCAGATTCTGACCTGGAGTTTTTCTGAGTGCAGTTTGCATGGATTCACTCACATACCTCATATTGCTGCTCTACCTACAGTCCAAAATGCATAGTAGGTTATATGGTTCTTCTAAATTGCCCTTCAGTGTGTGTGTGTGTGTGTGTGTGTGTGTGTGTGTGTGTGTGTGTGTGTGGGTGTGTGTGTGCGCGTGTGTGTGTGCGTGTGCATGTGCGTGTACTAGCATAGCTGTTCTTCCTGTAACAGGCTGGCATCCTGTAAAGGGTGTATCCCACCTCTCATCCAATGATTCCTGGCTAGACTTCTTTTATTTGTATTTTAGAATCTTGTTCAGAAATATATTTCATTTTAAAAAGCTGCACCTGCATTGATGCATGAGTTGGTTTCCAGTGTATCTGTTTAGTAATTATCTTTCTGTGAAATGGCATTTGAGCTTTAGCTAAATTTATTATGCATGGAAGCTGTAGAGTTAATCTACAGGAAAATCTGATGGGAGGCCCTGCTGTCTTACCTTGAGGCCCTGGGTTTTATTGCACTACTGCTCCCTACCTCTCTGCCTTGATTAGAATATAAATAAAATTCAAATGTATCCGCATCCTACAAACAAATACATCCCTGTAAAATTATTGGCAACTCTTATTCTATTTTTATTGAAGGTGGACAAAGAGAAAACCTTTGCATTCTGAGGAAGAAATGAATTGACCCTGTAACATAATAAAAATGTTAATACATAACAATAGTTCCACTAAGGACTGGTTAAGAACCTCATTGGTTAACTGCCACCCAAGAAAAACACCTTCATACACGTTAATGTATGAAGGTGACTCCGGTATCCTCATGACAATTTGGGGTTTTGACATGCTATGATGTGTCTTCAAATTTTTTATCTTCTCATAGTTGACATTTGGACTTGAAGATACTGTTGACTCAGAGAGGCATATGGCTACAGAAAGCATCTAACTACAGGTTTCTCAGCTAAGGGGGCCAGACTGCCTGTCCAGGCCCAGGTTGTCCAAATGTCTTCATGTTTTCTTCTTTTTTGTTCAATTGGTGAAACAAGCTTGGTTGTTCTAATTATTGCAGCTAAGCCACATTATTTTGTCAGGGATAAAAACAAAATGTATTTGACACAAATATGTAAAGCTTTTTATTACAGAATGCAGAATGCTATCAAGTTGGGGAACTACATTAGAACTTTTTATGATTTATGGTCCATTCAGAATGAGTCATATTTACTTTTTGTATACTCATGCTGCATACAGTGTTCCTGGGTTTAGAGGGACAGGGAATTGACTTGTCGCTTAGCTGCCATGTAGCTGAGCAGCTCTGCTCCTTCCTTTTTCTGTCACTTCCCATAAAGTGTGCAATCAGTCAGGTCCTCTAGACCTTAACTCAAATGAATCGGAGTTTTCCTTCAGCCTCTACCGCCCCAAACTCTTGATGCACCATGCTCTTACATTTTGTGGTTTTATTTTAGAGGGTAGGAAATTGACAGCCTACACCTTCCATTTGTTTTTACTTATCTTCCCCTTTGTTCAATTAAAATGTGAACATGCAAGTCACGAACTGATTAGCCTGTACTAATCAGATTTACAAAACCAATTTAATCTGCAGCTTCCCGCATGGTTACTTTGTCACCAATGTGACAAAGAAAAGATTGTTTTCTTGTGAAAGCACCGGCCAAAAAGATCCACTGCCTGCCCCCCTTATCTTTCTTATTGCACCTCTCTTAATTGCTCATTAGGACAGTAAAATTTGGTTTTAATCACTTTCTAATTTAGACGATCAAAAGTTCATTAGAGCTAATGTCCAAACTTCAAACAGGCACAAAGTGGCTGATGGTGTCTAGACACAAATGACATTACTTGGCCAGGATGAATGCACATCACATTAAAGCTTTTAATGAATGTTTTTTTTTTGTTTTGTTTGTTTAAGCTCTTCACTTAGATGTTTTACATCATGCATAAACTTTACCAAAAAAAAAAATGTAAGCAAATTTCTTTTCATTATATTTTGCTAGAATAGTGCTTCCTGGCAGTGGTGGGTACTGCAAATTGAAAAGTTAGTTGCACTAATCCTAAAGTGCTACAATGACATGGTATTTAGTGGAAGTTAATGCTAAAGCGCTAATTTCAACCCAAATTAAATCTGCCCCTGAAACAGTACAAACCTCAAGCACCAATGAGGTTCTGAAATGATAATTCACGTGTCTTATAATGCCCGTAAATGTTCATATCTGGTTCTCTACTGTCTGTGTTAGATTTTTTTTTCCCTCTGTTTCTTGTCTGAAATAAAGTTCTTGAGGGAAAAAAAGTGTGATTTTGAATTTTCTACTGAAAGTCTACAAAACTGAAAAGTAAATTAGCACTTTAGAATGTATCTGAAAAAAAATGAATTTAGGGAGTGCTACGTATGCTAACCGTTTCACAAGTTAGCAAATGCGCTAATCAAAAAAAAAAAAATAGCTCCATTGTTACCACTGTTAGTGAAAGTGAGCCCACCACTGCTTCTTTGTTATAAATCTTAGAACCTTTGAAAGTTGTTTTATTTTATTGTCAATCAGGGATTTCAACTTAAATCACATAAGAGCCTTAGCAGGACTTGGTAAAAGTCGATAGCATTTGATTCAGCTGTACCAGAAGCTCAAACAAGAGTCAAAAGCAGAATGAGTTTTTAATATTGACAGATTTTTTTCATGATAATAACCTCAGTACTAACCCATGCTTCTCAATCCACAAATGCAATTTCCATAGAGATGTGGTGAAGGGGAAATAAACCGACTTTCAGACATAAAAGATTCATTAGCGCTTAACATTGTTATTTAAGACAAAGCAAAGCAAAAACAAACAAAAAAAAAGAAAGAAAGAGAAGGTACTAATGCTCTTCCTTTTTCATTTAGTTTACATCCTGATCATGTTTTCATTTTGTCCAAATGGTTCCCTCTTATTTTTGAAGTTATTCAAATTATTAGGTAGCAGCATATCTGTGAAGAAGTCTTATTAATTCTGCTCTGTTCTGCTGGTTTGCCAGAAGTTTAATAATTTAGGATCCAGTATGTTCTCATATTTACCACAAATAGGAGGAGGTAGGAGGTAAGAAAACTAATTTCCTTAAAGGGTGCTGGTTTGGCTTTTAATAAAGAATTGTTTACTCACCTCCAGCAACAACGAACGTAATGAAATTGGAATTGAGAGCCAATGTTTTGATATCTGCCAGGTGCTGCAGGTGCCAACATACAGAAACCAAATGGGCTTTTTTGCTACAGCTGGAACTGTTTTTATTTTAATCCCCATTTTCACCTCTCTCTTCTTTCTGCTTCTCTTCCAGTGGTTGTGCTATATGTGCAAGGTGTGGGAACCAAAGAGTGGAGGGAGGTAAGTTGAGAAACCTAACATTAATGTCTAATATCAGAGAATGCTTTCTGTGTATAAATGATGTAAGGGAGATGGGTTACTAGTCCAGAAGTTGCATCTTAAACTGACAGCTTTCCAACTTTGGGCAAAACAAGCAACAAATTCCTGTAATACCTGGCCCATTCTGGTGAGGTAAAAGGTTGACAAATCCCAAATAAAAAGGACCTGCTGATTTTATTGTGCTACACCAAATTAACTGCTGTCATGACTGAAGGGAAGAAGAAAGATGATAATTGTATTGCCCTCACAAATAAACTCATAGCCATTTGAAGCCAGACTTTTTTTTTTAATCAGGATCATGTTCGATTGATTTATTTCGGCTTCTGTGAGTTTCTTCATGCTCTTATGTGTCACGCATTTTTATGTTTAGGCTAAGTTTTGATTTTTCTTAGCCATCTGAAATCCAAAGTTGACCACATTGTGTTATTGAAGGCATTGAGGGTTTTCTTGGTTGTTGTTTTTTGTTTTTTTACTGCTGATCCACTCCCCACAAGAAACCCCATGACTTTCTATTCCACTTCGAAGGTCCTAATCAGAAACCCGGTACAAACTGTGCCACAATTAGTGGAGTAAACAACTTGTCACCAGCTGTACACACTATGATACTCTACTTTGGCAAATGCTGTACAATTAGAGGCCCAAGCTTGTGGAGACAAAGGCTGCATCCAATGGAGCATGGAACTCTGTTCAAATAAATAAGTAGATGGATAAATAAAGAAGTTGATTTTTCTGAGAGCAAAATTTTTTGTTTTATGAATTTAAATATGTGTAAGTCATACTGGAAACAACCTTGCACCTTTCTTGTATGCTTTATCACAAGTATGCCTAATTTTCTGCATTATTGCAAAAATTACAAAATCTAATCAGATCTCCAACTTGAATGTACTCTTTTAATATTCTGGAAATTTGCATATCTTCCGTAAAGATGAAACCAGAGTGAAGACGAGTGACCATGAACAATCAGAAAGTGTTGCACAAAGTATCATTGCCTCAACAGGTAACTGGATGAAATTGGTCCATTGAAAACATAACTCTAAAGCAGTGTACTGGATTAGGAAACATCAAAAATTTATGTAAAAGATTTTAGCTTCAGGTAATTCCCTAAAGCTAAATTTTCAATATCAAAGCAAATACTCAAAGTTATACCTTTTGAACAACTTAACTCTGATCTGTGAAGGGTAATATTTTTAGGAAAATACCTTTAAAGAACCATGAACATTTGATGCAGAATTAATTATCTTATACTTATACTGTCTGGTCATCAATACGACAGATGGGACAGAAGACAAAAGCAAATATCTCTCATTAAAGGGTTTTCAAAGCAATGTGAAACTTCTACACTCATAAACAGCCTTCTGAAGTTTGTTTGTACTACTCATGTTTATTTGCATTGAATATTTCTTGTGTTGTGGTGACGTAAAGGACAAATGAACTACCTAATCCACTTTGGTGATTTTTTGTTTTTGATATTAATTCATTACTAAATGAATACAGAGCTTACCCCAGTGTATCATGAGCCTGGCGGGCCACCAAGCTTTACTTGTCCACCCACCAGACTAAGCCTTGTTTGCTTAATTAGAATAGAGTTTTTTATACATCAGTATCAGCCAATTAAGTCAGATTTATGGTTGATGCATTGAGCTAGACATGAGCGGTTCTGTCCCCCACCGGGCCCTTGGTCTCACACCCTATTATGAATTTTTGTAACTTTTAAAATTTTTTGACACAAGATAATGGCAAACATATGTATTTATACAACTTAATTTCAACTAGCTATTTATCACTTGGACAGTATCTTTTTCTACTAGTCTGTACACAGTTTGGCATTGGTTGTCAGTATAACAATTAATCTGACATCTGACATTGACAACAATAACCATCAATCATTGATGTACAATAAAGGGAGTCAAACCTGAAGTAGACAATTCATGGGTGAAAAAAGAAAAAAAAAAAAAAAAAGAATATTGTATTGGTTGTCAACTCACAAACTTGGGTCTTATATTTGTCACCATTATTTCTTCACCTTTCCTTCAGCAACACTGCAGTTTGTTTACAGTGTAATGTTCCAGTGTGCCTCGCCATTTTTTATTGTTGCAGCTGCTGGTACATCAGAACTCATGACACATAAAGCAGCGGCGTTTGGTGCTCTGTGAATAGAATTGGCTTGTTTTCCCCAGTCATCACATAATTTGATCTCTGCATAATTATTTGGAGTCTGGGTTTTATTGGTGATCTACAATTGACACATAGTACTGTCTTTCGATTCTAAACTAATGCCATATTTCCATACACAACCTGCCACTGCTTTCACCTAGGGTTTTATCGCTCTGGGCGTTTTTGTGGATACAGCCAAGAACTCGACATGTTTCAGCTCGGGACCGTTCTGGTCTCCAACCACACCGTTTGTTTGCTGCAGGGGGTTCTGCTGGAGCAAAGCCCTCTCCCTCACAGCGCTCTGTGGCAGGTGCTTTATGATGCTGTTTCTTTCCAGTTTCCTCTCTGGTAGTCAGCAGTTCTTTATGTGCTTACAGCCCCTCGCCCCACACCCCCCCACTCACTCTCATTTCTCAAATTTTTCCTTGTCAAGTTTTGTGCAAAGGATTGGAGAAATTCTTAGAGTAGGGGATGATGTTAGTCAACCTGAGTCAAACCTGAAGCAAGATGTTTGCTTTGACCCTGTAAGTAAGATGTTGAACTTAACAGCATCTTTAAAAAAGCACCATTGACCACTGCATCTTCAAACAGTGGCTGCATTTACATTACAAATGTGCACGAATCTTTGGCAGTATTCCGCTAATGTCAAAAAAACCACAATTTTGCAATTGCAGTGTTTCCATTAAATTAGAAATGCACTTAAAATCATACGTGAATAAGTTGATTCACGCGATATGTCATTAAAAAACATGCCTCACCATCAGACTGCATCTGCTTCCTGACGTCTTTTTCTCCGTAGTTTTGCACCAGTAGTAACATCCTGTTGTTGACGTGACTCGTGATGCCATAGGAATGTTTCCAATGCAGTTTTGTGAAACAAACAAATTTTGATACGGATGAAAAAAAAAAAAAAAACAGCCTCATCCTAAAAACCTTTTATAGATAAATTGAAATTGAAATTGCTGTGTTTCTATTGAGCGGATTTAGTTTTGAAATGTCAAACTGCCCAATTAGATGGCCAATGGAAACAAAATCTGCTGATAAGTTAATACTTTACAAGGAAAGCTGATGGCTTCACCTTTCAAATGTTTTTTTGTTTTTTTTCTAATGGCTATAGCATTACCTTAAAAAATAATGCTATTTTAGAGATTTAAAGATTTATTCTGGGAAAAGTATTGGGAAACAAAGTTGATCTGCAGGAACCCACCACAATACTGCTTTAAATATATATATATATATATTTAATGGCTCTTATTCACAACAATTTGCAAAAGAGAATTAGAATCACTGGAAAATAAAAGTGTTCTCAGAAGTCTCAGTTCTCGGCAGAGGGATGCAGTGAGGATCTTAAGGTTTGGAGTCAAACCACAAACAGCTGTGTTGAGGACTAATTACTTGTGTGTGGGGGACCTGCTTTACCTCTATGCCACCCCACACACTGCTGCTTTTACTTGCTGATGTTCTGTCCTTGCATAACAGAATGCTTTCATTTCAGCTGCTGTGTTTTTGTTCTTGGCTGGCTCCATAGCAACGTCTCTCAACCCATAACTTTTTCCTCAGCGTTAAGACTTGTGATCAGGATTTTATTTACAAAGGACAGTTGACCGTGACTTCCCACAATCAAATGGTTATAAGAAGATGGTAAAAAGAAAAAAAAAAAAAAATCTGAAATTGGTTTGAAATTCTTAGAAAAATCTGGTACCTCATAGAACTAATCTCTAAGGCATTGTTTAAAGCAGAACGCTGTCTGTGTTTTTGGAAGCTTATTGGGGAAAAGCTCCACATTTAGAGTTTAGATGAGAAAGCCAAGGCACCTTGAATCTGCTGTAGTTGTCATTCCAAGGCACTAGAAGGCGCTGTGATTTTAGCATGTTGTCAAAACACGTGTGCTTTGTTCCCGTAGGGTTCAATTCTAGGACCGCTATAGAAGTTGTACAGTGAAGTGACAATTGCTTGTTGGTCTCAAACTAATTTGGACATGATATTTTGAGCTCGTATATGTAGATGTAGAAAAAGATTCAACTTTTGTTGATACTGTCGCATTCTGTTTGTTTTACATTATGTGGCAGACAATTTTCACTTTTTGCTGTCGTTTGTTGCTTCCTGGTTGCAAACTGGACGTCTTTCTTTAGAAAACCTCTTTAAGTTGTGAATCTCCAATGATTTAAACTTCCATTTTCTACAAAATAAAACAAGCAAAAACTGATTTCTTAAATAATCAGAATTACTGTATGTTTAGTTTATTGTTGTAAATAAAAAAATCTTAGAAATATTATGACCTGAGAATACTTTTGAATTGACAGTTTTGACACGCATAACAAAACGTGTGGACGGCACTGCCATAAGACTTCCTGCTGAAACAAAATGGTGTCTGAACTAACATTAGCCATTTTATTTTTTTACTTTGTTTTGAGAAATTTCACCAGGTATATTTCTGGTTAGACTGGATGTCAGCTGCATAGTTACCAACAGCTAATAGTTAATTACAACAAATTTCCACTCACCCAGTGGTAGTTATAAAGTACATTATGTACTCACATAAATAAGGGATATTTATGTGAGTCATAATTACTTTTCTCTTGTAATGTAGGTGGGGGCAATCAGCTCTATCAGCAAATGCTGTTTAGCAATGTGTGTAAGCAAATGTTTTGGGAAAAGATGAACTGACTTGCCCGTGCTCCAGGGCCATTCATCAACAAGTATGTTTCTGTCAAATCACACCCACTAACTCTTGAAAGCTCTCTACAAGGACGACTCTGAACGCACTCTACCACTGAACGCCATGCAGGTCTTACTGCTGTCAACACATACTTTGGTTTTAAGCTTTTATCTTTTATGTTTATGTAACAGTTCCTTTAGCTTAAGCTCAAACTTTTCCATTTAGTAAATGTGACAGGCTTCCGTGAGAGCCTCAGTTGAATTTTAATAGAGACCATATAATCATTTCATAGAATCTTCTCATAGATGTCTCTTCTGCACACATCAATACGACACCCTCAACAAGAAAATCCTTGAATTATATTTTATTTGGAATAAATCTTTTCATAAAATATTACAGAAAAACTTTAAAGCTTTATTTTTTGTGACATATGTTATCAAATTTGGCACAAAGATATTTTTAAGCTTACTTTTATTCAAAGTTATAATAAAAAAAAAAAAAAAATGAAGTACCTGAAATATTAAGGTTTAGAAAACTGTAGAACAGATTTATATTTGGTGTTCAGTTTTGGGATAAGCAATAAATCAATTTTGTTCATATCACCAGTTATTAGGTTAAGGGACGATTAATTTTTCATACAAGGTCAGACTGGTTAGAGGAGCTTTTTTTCTCCTAATGAATAAAATTCTCAACCAACCATGTTAAATGGTATAGAAGATTAAGTTCTGTGATGTTGGCAAAAAAGGGTAAGAAAAAGTATTACCAATAATGCCAACAATTGCTCCATTCATAATCTCTTTAAAAAAGAGACTTTATAAAATTTTTAGTAACAATGCTAACATTTGAATTTTTTGCCGTTAAATCTTTGACAATTTGCCAAATGTGCCACTAATAATGTTTAGCATTGCGGTATTCAGTGAGTGAATAAAAAAAGAATACTAAACATTGAGTGCATATTTGAAAAAAAAATCTAAATTTTTTCATATTGAACATGTCCCAAAACATTTGCTGGTTTTGTTGTAAACCAAGCTTCCCCAAGCAAGGTAAGGACTGTACATATACACATATAGTTGTATGAAAAAATCTTAAATATTTCAAATCACCAAACAAACATTACCATTGGATAAAAATAACCTGTGTATATAGAAGAAGCAATTTTCAAATGATTATTTCATTCATTAAGGGAAAAAAGCTATCCAAACCAACCTGACCCTGTGGGGGAAAGTAATTCCCTCCCATGTTTAATCATGCATTAAATGTGATTAAACTACACTTTTAGAAAGCTGGGCTCAATTTCACAAGGCAAACTCAGGCGTGATTATTACCTGACTTGAAGATATGATAAAACTTTATAATGCTTTATCATATCTCCGATGGCTGAAATATCCCAAACAACAACTCATCATCTAAAAAACAACAACAAAGAAAAACAGTAGAAAAACAAAGTTATTAATTTGAAAAGGGCTACAGGCCATTTCTATGACTTTGCAAGCTAAATGTGAGAGCCATAACCTACAACTCAAAGACAATGGTAAACATTTCCAGGAGAGCTCAACAAAAATTCAGCTAAGGTCAGTGCTCAAGTTTTAACAATAAGGAAGAGAAATGGGACTAAATTGGCCTCAGTGGGAGAGTTCCAAGGTTAAAATCACTGCTGACCAAAAAGGACATGATGGCTGTCTCACATTTATGAAAAAAAATCTTGATGATCCCCAAGACTTTGGGGAAAGTATTCTGAATGACTCAAATGTACCAAGACACAGCTTTTGAGTGGTGCAAACAAAGTCTGGACTTAAATCCGTTTGAGATATTGTAGTATGACCTTCCACACTTGTACTCAAAAAACTACAACATGTCTGATTTAAAACTTATTTAAGATGAAAAATGGGACAAATTTCCTCAGTGGTGACGTTGAAGACTTGCTAGTTACACAAAACTCTTGACGTCAGTATCTGTTTCTATGGGTGGCACAACTAGACATGAGGTTTAAACAATTACTTTTCCACATAGAGCCAGCTTGATGTTTAATAATCTGAAATATTTGACAAAAACAAAAACTGAAGAGGCTTTTTCAAAGCACTGTGCACAGTTCAGTTTGCAGTCTCATTACTTTACTGATACAGTACATGCATTAGGATGACAAGTGTACAAGTAAAAAAACTCTTGAATCTATCCAGTGTACACAGTCAATACTGGTAACAAATACAGGCTTTTCAGACAGCCATACTTACCTTCAGACAATTAAAACATTTCCAATGGTGACAAATCAATTCCCTAATTTGCAACAACAAGGCGCCGATTAACCAATCTCGTCTCTGAAATTATTAACCAAACTGGTCCCCCAAGGCCAAAAATAGAAACAAAGCAAACAAACATCATTGGACTTTCCTGCCGAGATCGATGCGGCGAGTACTTCTGAGGTCCGATGCACCTCCCTGTTCGGTTTTGGTAATGGATAGGCTGGGGACACAGTTGATAGCACGGATTATGTGCGCCGGCCTCTGAAGACACGAGTCGAGGTATTGAGGCTGTGTTGAGGCAGTGCCAAAATCAATAGCTCATTACACGGTGCTGTCAGGCCAGACCTGTGAAGGCAAGGCCGCAACCCACGGGAGGATTAGCGGTGTGATTGTCAGGCTGATGGAAAGACGCCATGGCTCTGGAGGGAAGATGGGAGCAGGCCTTACTGGGCACACAATGGAGGTGGGGGTGGGGGATGATCACTCCGATGTACCTACCCTGATTTCTCTGGGGTCAGAGACTTTAGCACAGACTCCTCGGCATTATGCAGCGCAGTCCCATATCTGTAAAATAGATTTTGTACCCACAGATTCTGTTACAAATGATTTTTCTATTCAGTTCTTTAACTATTTTCTCCTCTGTCTGTATAATGTAAAATATCAACTATTGAATCAGTGCTGATAATAATTGAAATCTTCTGTCTTTTGCAAGTTTGGCAGGACAGAAGTTATCGACAACACCCGGAATCCCGATTTTGTCAGGAAATTTGTGCTGGATTTCTTCTTTGAAGAGAAGCAGAATCTAAGGTTTGATGTGTAAGTATTTACTTGTTACCTTTTAAAAAAATAATTCTCACCTTGAAAACTAGATAAAGGTACAATAATAAAATTAATAAATAATAGTATTAATGCTCTAGAGTGAACAAGCTAAGGTTGACAGCAGTGCTGATCTGAAAACAAGAATACTCTAGTACTGGACATGTACTAGCCATGTTCCCAAATGGTTTAACCTCTTTTTTTATTTGCTGTGGAGAATTTTTTTTTCATAGTGAGAAATTTATCCTCAACTTACGACTGTAAGAAGTAAAAAGAAAAGTATAATTTCCTGCTAGAAACACCAGACATCAACCTTAAGTAGCAATATCTTGGTTTAGATGTTAAAATGTCACTTTCAATAAACCATAATTCACAAAGTTTTAGTCTTTTTAGAGTCCTCAGTTTTCTTCGAAGTGTCCTCATATTGATTTGTGCTTTGCAGGTACAATGTGGACTCTAGAAGCTGTAACATATCCAAACACGTGAGTACACCATGTGAAACTAGCCTAAAGTCAAAAGACATGGGGAGTGATCTCATTATTCAGAGAATTATGTTCTGTTAAAGTTTGTTTGCAGTGAATAAGACTCGATGGGGATTCAATATGAATTTCATTTCAATTTATTATGTTCCAGATATGCCCCTTGACCCTTTCTTCATCTATTTACTTATTTGTCTTTTCTCCTTCTAAAATGACTCACTTCGTGGAGCAGAAGGTGAGTACATTTGCCTACAGATTTTTGACGTCATGACTCATTGCACTTTGTTCATTTCCATTTTCATTTGTCATCATGTGATTTTGTGACGTGAGTCATTTACTGTGGTTTATATTGAATTTTCTCCCATTCTTTCATTTTACCCGTCTAATCGTGGACAAACGCAGACACCCGGAACGCTTCTCCTGTTGTGTTGCACCACATTTTGTCTGTCTGCATTTTCTCAGTGGCTCAGGTAAAAGCAACTTTCAGAACCGCACTTCAAAGCGGCTTTTGTGGTTTCTAGACTTGTGTACTATGGCACATCGTGCGCGTCGGGTCATTCACAGAGGTCGCACACACGTTTATTTTGCTGGGACTCACACCTACGGTGGACCTCGTGCCCACGCAACGCAAACATCAGCGCTCTGCTCTTGATGCTGTGCGGTGTGTTTTATTACGCCACATCGACTCTACTTGTGATGTTGCCACATTCTTTTTTATTTTTTGAAGTGTGGCGAGGTTGTAAACATAAAAATCTCTTCCTCGCTGACTCTTTCTATCCTGCTTTGATGACATTTGCTAAAAATTCCAACAGGCAGCTGAGTTATGCAGCTCTTTGTAACATCTTGACATCGTTGGGTTAATGCATTCAAGCCTGCATATGCGGTGAAATTAAACTGTAAAGTTAATGTTCAATTTAAAATCGCCCTTCACTAAAGATGAGATTGAACTTTAATGGCTTTAATATCTCCGTAACAATCCCCATCAATTTTACACTTGTTCGTAATTGCTACTGAGCTTTTTATCTCTAGGATTATCCCCATGGTGTTAACGGGATGATTCTCATCTTCCTTGCTTTCTTAGAAATAGCCAACAATGTGTCAACAATGGTCATTATTTATCCATTATTGTGTATGTCGGGAAAAAAAGACGAGTACATTTCCACCAAAAAACTCAGACATTTTTAGATTAATCTCAGAAAGGTTTTAGAAAGAACAAGAGAATTATTTCTGAGCTTGAAAAGTCAAAAATTTGGTAGAAAATCTTTTTAGGATAATTTCAAAAAACTTAGAAAAGTCAAAAATTTCGACTTCAGACACAAATTTCCATGTTTCACTTTGTGTGCTAGTTTATGTTGATCTATGATCCAAAGTCTCAATAATTAAGTAAAGGAGTTTGTGGTTGCAATGTGACAAAATGTGAAAAGGTTTGAGGTATGTGCTTGCTTTTGCAGATGTAGGCACCATCTTTCTTCTTATATAGACAAGTAAGTTTTCTTTTTCATACTTTTTCCTCATGCCAAGGACTTTTTGGGCCAGACCTTCTGTACACTTGGAGAAATAATCGGCTCAACAGGAGGACGGCTGGAAAGGACCCTGTCGTAAGTCCCACGGGGAAATCCTTGCTTTACTTTTTTTGTTTTTTTTGTTTGGGTGTTGTGTTAATTTATTTTGAATGCAAATTATTTTAATACCTAAAATAATATATTTTGTTCCATATCTATATTGATTACCAAAACACTTTAGCAGAAGCTTGTATTTTTTTTTAACGCTTGAAGCAAATTAAATAGTCTCATCTGTTATGATATTGGACTGGTATGCAATACTTTTCTCTGGCCTTCTATTATGTATTATTTTTCTGATACACCAAAATATATATTTTTAAAAGAAATAATTAATAAATGGTGTAACCTTAAGATATATTTTTTTTATTCTGGATATAAATGTGAACAGATTGCACTTTCAACTCTGAGGTGGCATTTTGTGTTGTCCAGAAAGAAAAGCTGGAATGCAGAGCAAAGTAAATGCATCTGAACTCATTTTGTCTTTTAATATGAAGATGAGGCTGTTACCTTCACACCATGGAGGTTGGCTTGCAGAATTTGTCAACTAAAATGTGAAACAGTATATTATTCACAAGTCATAAATCAGTAGCTGCTGCTGTTTTGCCCAAAGGATTGAAAATGACATGGTTTCACATTTGATTTACTTTGGTGACTCCTTAAAAGTCACCAAAAGACTTTACTGAACTGTCTTGAAATTCAAATTTTTCATAAAAGGCCCTCATCAAGAAATAAAAAAAGGTAATTTTGTTAAATACTATTTTAAATGAATTAAAGTAATCAGAGAGATTGTTCTTTATGAAATAATAGTCTGAGCACTGCAGGCTGAAGGAGTTTTGAGTTTGGTTCAAATATTTTCTAGTTATGAATTGAGTACAGTCGTTTTATCTAACTGGGATTTTATTTTGTCTTCATTTTATTCTAATACCATTCAAATTAATTGTAGCTTTTTTTTTTTTTTTAAATAGACGGTTTAATCAGTAAATCCATTTTGATTTTCACCTGAATTACATGTTCTTCCTCGGTCAGTGGCTTTTGTTCTGACTCTGGTTGTTTTCACATTCGATGGTCTGGTGGACTCGGTTAAATTGTGGACCAAAAGAAAACAAATGTATAAAAATGCAATATTTGTTACATTTTTATGCAACAAATATCTCATGTTATGCTGTCACAAAATAGTGGCAGTTTTAACAAAGATTCATTTTTGCATAAGTTTAGTGCAGCTTAAATGCTCTGAAGATTTCTTCAGAAATCTTGCTTTTCCTCCTTTGTAGTTACAAAGGAGGAAAAGCAAGATTGACCTGTTTATAGACCTGTTTATAGTTTGGTCATTTGTTGTACAGCAAAAACTTTGTTTCGTTTGTTACCTCTTTGATTGAGACACCTTAGTATTTGTATGACATTCTCGAATGACATATTCTAAGAGGACAAGGAGTGCTTTATTGGATTGGAAGTTTTGGCCCTCCAATATTAAGGTGGGATTTGGAAAGCTACAAGCTGACATTTCCTCTGAACAAAGGTCTCATCACATAAAAAAAGTTCACCGCACACTCGTTATCCCCAGAAAGATCTCGTTATAAGTTTTTTTTTTTTTAAAGTGCCCCAGTCTGTTGTAAGAAAAAGCTCTAGAGTTTTAGCTACTGATTTCCTTAGGACACCATTAATTTTGGAATATTAAAAAACAACAGCAGCATGCAGTGCAGACAAATCGTTCATGTTTCAGTTTCCGTGTAATATTTATTCATTTTTTGCTACACTCTAGCAAAAAGGTGACTAGAGTGTGGCAAATCACATTTTTTAGATGTGATTCGCCAAAACAAAGTAGTGAAAACAAAACCTTTTCTACGAGAAACATCTGAAAACTGAAGTGTTTTATTCATGAACATTAGTGAGCAAACTGTATTAGAAAGACAAAGGACAACAGCAGGCAAGTCAGGGAGAAAGTTGTGGAGAAGTTTATAGTAGAGTTTGGTTATTAAACAGAATCCCAAGATTTAGAAATCTCACAGAGTCTCAGAGCAATGTTCAATCATCCAGCACAAGTGCAAACCTACCTAGACCTGTAACATACAGTCAGAGGAGGGAGGAAAAGCTCAGCCTTGTTTAGGCTACATGTAGAGAAGCAATTTTCAGCATCAAAGCTTAAACGCTCATTTTATTTCAGACATCATATAATGGAGGGATCACTCCAAATCGGCGTGGAAACTCTGGAACTATACATAGCCTCATTGAAGGAACTCAGTGTTACTGCCTTCTGCTCAGGCAGGCGGCTGACCAGAGTTTTGCTGCTGTCAGAGTGGAGACAGCCTCTGTCACTGGCTCAGACTCAGACTCTAATGTTGCCTACATATTGTTAAAACCAGGGGATAGAAAGCCATACTTAAAGTTATTCCATCAAATTTTATTTGAATAAAATCAGGAAAGGTGTATGGCCTTCATTAGCAATGTAAAAATAAGTTCTCTTTATATTGTGTCATGCTGATGAAAGACCCAGATTGTTATTTGCAGCATGTTTTGCATACCAATTACTATCAATTGTTTTAGATTGTTTGTGTAGCGTTCTGCTCATCATAACTGATAAAGAGGACAAACAAGTTAAAGTTACATCAAGCTGCTTATTATATTTTATTGCTTTGTAATTTATGCATGTGTTCAGCATGCACTCAAATCTCAAAGCAAGGCTGTTTTCATGCCTGATATTCCAGTAGACCTGGTTGAATTGGGGACCAAAATTGACTGCAGTGTCAAACAAATCAAACACTTTGGAGAACCTGTCCCCCTCCTCGCCTGTGGTGGCGCTGCAGACAGAGCCACTTAAGGAAATGGCATAAAAACCTCTGAACAAGACATGAGTGGAACTTCCTCCTTCACAAAATGTAAAGAAAAGTGGAGTGGCGTCAGATTTTAGTGATTGTAGGATTTCTCTTTTTTTCTTGGTAAAAATCCACAAGCCATTTCTCTAGTGCTAAACTCGCATATACATTTGTTGTATTTACCCATAATGCCCTGCACTCTAACTTTTTTCCTGTTTTTGGAGTGGTCTCCAGTCCACTTGGCATTAACATTCGAGTGGTTGATTTCACTTCAACCAAACCATGATCATGAGTTCACTTTTTTGGTTCGCATCAGAGTTTGATTACACATTCACACCTCCCTAAATGGTGGTGTTTGCATAGTCTGGTTCTAGCCAAACGGACTAGAGCTCAATTAAGAGTGAAAAGAAGAAAGCATCTGATAAAGGAAAATCAAAAAAAGTTCCATTTGCATTTTTCTCCAAGTTGTAGAGGTTACACAGCAAACCTGGAAAAAAAAGGTTCTCTGGTGTGATATCAAAATTGAACATTTTAGCCAGCGTGCAAAACACCAGACCTGGTAAAACCAGCCCCTGGTTCTTCGCTTTGCTTAGATAGAGGGTCTGGACCCTCAGCTATTGAGAAACACTTGTTTTCTGTAAGCATGTAGACAGTGTTGAAGTTTGAAACAATTGCATCAGATTTTACCAAGCGCTAAAGTCTGAATTAATATTGCAGCGTGAATGTGAAGGAAGCTACATTATGAAGCTTGCCAGCATTGTGTGCGCTGTACACCACCATTCCCCACTGCAAAGAACACACATCTTTGTCAGCAATAAAATGTCTTAAACATTCCTTTGCTCCAACTATCTGGAAGTGTGGCCAACATGGACTGCATGACTTCGCTGACTTCCTTTGCTGTTGTTGCCAAACTACAACTATAAGTAGACTATTCTAAAACAGCGCAGAAAAACGTCATTGATTTCAACCCCTCCTTCTGTTTGCTGACTGGCCCAGTTGAATTTCAGCTGGAGAAATCCCAGAAGGAGGACTGAAGGGAATTGGGAATGGAGTGTAAGGCAAAGACCAGGTAACTGGGACTGGAAAGTTGATCAGAATTGGTAAAAGATGGATGGCAATACTGGAAGGCTGCAAAAGACTTGAGACTCGGAAAGTGGTTCACCTTCTAGGACTAAGAGCCCAAACATAAAATGGAATGGTTTAGAGCAAAGCATATTCATGTGCTAGAATGGCCTACTCAAAGTTTACCTCTCAGTCCAGTTGAGTAGAATCTTTCAAATATATCCTGAGAAATCCCAAAAATATAACAAACACTTCCAACACAGTCTGACTGAGCTTGAGCTATTTTACAAACAAGAATGGACAAAAAATTCAATCTGATAAAAAAAGAAAAAGCAGGCCGCTCTGCTCTATGTGGCTCTTTTTTGTTCTTAGTGAATCCTCCTCTCACTGAGGTTCACTCACTGCTAAGCATTAGAATTTAATTAGATTCTCATTTGCGATGACATCGATGCTAGCAGTGCCGTCTCCATCCCCTCCGGTTGTCACACAGCTTCGCAGATCAATGTGGGTAGGTACAGTGAGATTCAGCTCCTCACCATCATCTCAACACATAAACACGGAGTTCCACACTCAGCTGCTCTCACCAACATCAGACTAACACCGCACTGGTTTACATTTATTTTCCTCTTAGCTTCAGACCATGACCACTTTGTTACACTTCACAAAAACATTTCTAAAGCAAGGAGACACAGCATGAGCATGTTGGAATGTATGCGAGTCGGAGTCTTGTGTGTGTGATACAACAAAGAGTTGCAGAGATCTAACACAAAGACAAAAAATTATCTCTGCTCTGCTGGCGTTATTGCACTGGCTTTCCTGTTGACAGCAGTAAGTAGCTCCTTGTCGCTTAACTGCTTGTTAGGTCTTCAGAGTCCAAAAGAAGTGGGTATGCACAAAGTTCCTTTAACGTGACAGAGTTGTGTTTCTAAAGAAGATAACATGAAGTTGGTGGGTAATGTTTAAAACCTGAAGATACACTTTTAAGTACATAGTAGTGGGCGACTGAGTACGTTCCCACCAAAACCTTAAGAGATTGAAATGACCCATTTGGAGATCTCGCCATTTTAATTTGTTTGCTTGTTAAGTTCTGGTAACGGGTTGAGAGTTTCAGGCCGGGGGCAGTATGGTCACATGAGGCACTGACCCCAACCATCCATCCTGTGA